CTGGCTTGTTGGCGTTCGCGTTGTTACTGATCTTTGTGCGCGCCGGCTCAGGTGTTGTGCTGGTCGTGCTAGATGTCGCTACGGTCGAAGTTGTTGTTTGCTAAATGATATGAGGCATTTAAAAAATGTTTGCTTGCAGAGAAGTTTTTGATTGCAAAGTGAATACTAACCTTTGTGGTCGTTTGCTTCGTAGTAGCGCTGGTCTTATTTTTATGTTGCATATTGTTCAAATTCGCCANGAGAAGTTTTTGATTGCAAAGTGAATACTAACCTTTGTGGTCGTTTGCTTCGTAGTAGCGCTGGTCTTATTTTTATGTTGCATATTGTTCAAATTCGCCATGTGTTCTGTAAGTGAAGGTAGCAAAGTTTAAAATTCCAAACATAAGACTCTTCAGCAACACTTACTAGCTGGTACATAGATATCCTTTGGAAGTTTCACATTGGCGTAATCGTTCAGTGAGACGCAACATTTAGTGCCCGCCGTGCAGAGTCCGCTGGTTGTTAGATAAGCCTCACAGTATTCGGCAATGCGATCGGCTACACAAACGCCTGTGCAGTTTTGTACTGTAGGGCAGTAACAAAATTTTATCAGGTTAAGCATTTTTCAATATTTTTCTAGTTTCAAATTTACCTTTAGCTCCATCAATACTGCCAGCGTCCTTTTCTTCGCCCTTTTTCGGTGCCAATGTGCCGGTAGTAGTCGGCTTCTTGGTTGTTGTAGTCTTTTTCGTGGTTGTCGTTGTTGTAGTGGTTGTAGTTGGCCGCTTTGATGTGGTCTTCGGCTTCGGTGTGGTTGATGTGGTAGTCAATTTGGTGGTTGTGGTTGTAGGACGCTTTGTAGTACTGGTTGTACTTGTCGTTGTTGTGGTGGTACTCGTATGCGTCAAGGTGTTATTTTTGCCTATGTAGAAAGGTCAAGCGTTAAGGAATGATCAAAAGAGCTAACAAAATACTTTCGTTGTCAAAATGCTAATTTGACGCTAATCATCTTTCTCAACGAGTTTTTGAATTGTTTAAAATTTATTGGTAGATTTTGAAACTCTAAGCACCTATCCTGATAAACTTATTAAACGAGAGACAATTTTTACAAGATATTCCAGCACCGTGCCCCTGTTCATTATGACTTGGGTGTTGTTGTTGCCTGAGGTCGTTGTGCATGTAAACTTCTTTAGATCTACGAGCGGGACTTGCATTAATTCTTCTTTCCTCACCATTGAGACGAGGTTGATGTAGTTACATTTCTGTATCTTTCAAT